GTCCATTGTGCATGGGTTGCCCTAGTGATTATGAGGTCACCAATGACAAACTTGCACATTGTTCAAAATTTGTACATAAATTTTATTGTATGTTTGCACAGAAATGCACTGAGCAGGGGTTCCTTGTATTTTGTAGCCTTGTTATCTTTGGCATTATTCTGTTTTTGTGCACTCCAGCTGAAGATCCAGCGAAGCAGAGTCTTCTGAACCAGCCTTTTACTGATACCACCCAGGACCCTGTCTCTAATGAGTTGGAAAATGACAAGACAGAAATGGTTGAAAAGAACCAGGAAGCCGAACCAGATCTCTGCCAGGAAGAGCTGCACTGTCCCGAAAATGTCCTTAAGGTGCATTCCCATTTAAATAAGGAAACTTGGCAGCTGCATCTTCAGTAAAATATGTATAGGTTGTCAATAGTAGACATGAGAACATAAAGAAGCCTTTATCTGATTTATCCACTTACTTCCAGGTCATTTTGCATAAACTAAATACACAGTTTCTTCTCACAGGGCAACTTACAGAAAACTATAGATGTATAAGAAGCAGAAGAAAATTTGTGTAGTGCAGTTGTGTATGTTTGTGTGTCAGCAATTGTGTTTGGCCACATGGTGCTTAGATAAGCAGTCAATTTAATTGGTCATTGTATGTTTTAACATACCACAGTAGAAATACAGCGCACACATATTACTGGATTATGCCATTAAGAGCAGTAGGGAGTGAAGATTTGATGTGCTGTTATGCATTATTCTTTCTACTTCAGCTGGAGGAGCAACTTTACCAGCGAATCGTGGAGAATGGAGTTGCTGGAATCATTAGTCAGGAGCTGAAGGACAAGCTGCAGAAGGTCAGACTTCATGTTGGTTTATAAGCAGATGTCTTTGTGTGAAAGGTGACCACAAGCCTCTTAATACTTTTTTATGGCAAGGATTTATTTAGTACACAAGGTAACAGAGACGCATGGTTACAAGTCTACAAACCCTTTGTATGCTCATGATTCTCTGCAGGTTGTTGGTCAGAGCAGTGGTGGATTAATGGTGCATGATCTTCCAGTTGAGTACAAGGTAAAAAAGGAAAACAAACATACAGTGCTCTTGTTTATCTTTGCAGTGAGTTTGTGCTTAGTCCTGGGTTTAGGAGGTTAAGAACAGGGTTCAGTCTTTCCAGATCAGCTAAGCTAATCTTCGCTGGGCTTCACTGCTTTGTTTCTTATTCCCCTGCAACTTAATTTATGTCAAAAGCAACTCACATTTGGCCTACCTGCCCCACTAGTGTTTAGGAAGCAAGCAGTTTCAGGACAGGTGTCTCTGTGTAGTGGAACAGAGCTCGGGTGATAATGAAAGGTGCAGAATGATGCTATTGTTAATCCTGCCAGTGTTGTTCTTTGCACTTCAGAAGCTGTATGCTGAGGACCTGCCACTGCAACAGAACGGCTTTGTCAGCGTCACTGAACTAGTTGGTGCCATGAGTGACACCTTCCACCTGAAACGTGCGGGGGGTGACGGTGAACACCAATGGATAGTGATGAACATACAGGACAGTGATGGCGCACAAGCAGGTGTGTATGTGCATGTGTTCAAACACCGGGAATCAGTTTATAGTCTCAGAACTAGTTCATAAGAGTTGCCTTCCGATCGTGTTGGAAATCAAAATGTGAAAAGCCAGCTGTCGCAGAGAGAGGCATTGATGTTGTTGTTCAAATAAAAGTGCCGCATGCAGTTTCATCGAATAATAAAAGTGACTGCTAAATAGAGAAGAAAGAAATAGTTCCTTTCTGCACAGTGGGCCAATAATGAAGTGAATCTTAGTCAGTTTCTGAAATTATTGAAATGGTCGGCTGTTAGGGGACAGGTTCTACGAAGACAGACAGTTTGGGCAGAGTAAAAGCCCAGCTTCAGTATCATCCTAAGTGTTATTATTTATGGAGATGTTCTTGTGATCGACCTTGATGACCAAGGTGTTTCTGCAGTCAGTACTTTTCTGACCAGTGGCCTACTGTATCAAATGGTGGTGTCTGAAATACCATGAGGCAGAACTTTCTTGTGTAATAATAGCTTTCAACTAAGCAGAAAATTTATTTTTCTTTATTTTGTAGATTCAACAGAAACCAGAAATTTTGGTAAACGTGTGAAACAGCCATTTATAGGCCACTACTCCAGCTGTGGAGAGTCTTCTTGGGAAAAGGAAAATACTGCAGATCATGAAGAGCTAGAGGCCACAAACAATTCCAAGATCCAAGAAATGGTTAGGCAACCTCTCTTCAGTCATTTCATTGCACATTAATTAGCAAGCAGGTGCCAGTACCCCTTATTACTGTACCCTGTGTAAAATGTTACTTTTGCACACAGGTTAGACAGCCTTGAAAACAGTTATGCATTTTTTTATAGTATTTTATAATGTTTTCTGTAGAATAATGCTAAATATAGAGGAACATTGCAGTGTCCCATCACTACTGTCACTCTTCTTTTTAACACATCTGCCTGTAGATATCTGAGAGGTACTCTGGTGTACCACTGGATGCTGTGCAGAATCAACGTCTCAAGCCTCCAACGCGCCATGGCGCTCAAGAGCTGCTGGAGGTCCTAGTGGAACACGTGGAGTCACCAGGACATTTCTACATCCACTTCAGCGAGGGCAAGGAGGCACAAGCTATGGAGGACATGATGATTGAAATGAGGTGGTGGACATGTTGGTGGACTCAGAATGTATTGTTAAAATACAATGTAGTAACATGTACTATTCCTTTGGAATTGCACTGTTATCAATAATCTAATTCATGATTTCCTTTGATATTTGCCATTTCATCATGCTGGGCACAGACACGCTCTGTATGATGGGCAGTAGAAACTTTATCTATTTTCCAGAAGTGGACTCATTGTGTGATCCAAAATACATTTAATCATTTAGCTTGAGAATTATAGACCATTTATTGTAGGCATTTTTGAGAATTTGTCCCTTTCTTGTCTCCGCCCCAAAGACAGTATAAAAAAGAAGTTGTTTAATGTTCACTCCTCTTCTTCAATGCAAGTAAGGCTTTTGAAGTGGTTGCACTTATCAGGAAAATGTTTTACAACCTAGCACCGACAGCATCTGCAAAGCTGAAGCTGGGACTGTTTGGACTTCATTGGAACACTTAAAAAAATCACAAACATCACAAAATGTAATCAACATTCCTTCAGTATGGTCTGAAGTTAGTGTTCAAACATTCAAAAATGTTTGTCTTTTTCCCTCCAGACGATGTTACACCTGTCCTAAACGGGCAGAGCACTACCGCCTCCCTGAGCAGTTTGTTAGACGAGGTCAGGTCTGCTGCGTGTCACCCAAAGGAATGTGGTTCTACCGGGTGGTAATCCATCAGATCATCAATTCCACAAAGGTCGAGGTGTACTTTGTTGACTTCGGGGATATTATCGTGGTGCAGAGAGCCAGTCTCAAGTTCCTTAAGTAGGAGCATCTCAAATTTTTAATACTGCTACCAAGCATGTCATTGTGCTCTGCTCTCTACTATTTGTCTTTCTTCTTCTCAGGTCCTGTTATTCAGTTCTTCCAGCACAAGCAGTTCCATCTTCACTTGCTGGAGTTAAACCCAGCACTGTGAGTGTGATTGCTGATCTATTATATTGACACTTTACTAACAAATGTGAGCCTTGATGAAAAATTCTGCATCACCTTCTTGCTCATACAGTGCCAAAATATCAACTGGATCTGCTCTTTTATGTGAATAAATCCAAACTGTGAAGCTGCTATTTAGTGCTATTACCACTCAGTTTTATGAAGAACAGTTCTTGTTCATGTCTTGCAGGGCAGCTGGACTGCTGAGGCCACAGCCTCTTTCCGAAAGCTGTGCTCTGATCGCACCCTAGTGGGCGTTCTCAACTGTTACACTAGAGATGTGCTGCAGCTATACCTGTGTGACACACATACCGATAATGACATCTACATCCACACCGTCCTGCTGAGCCAGGGCCATGGGACATTCTGTAGCCCCTCAGACAGTGCAGCAGTGAGCATCACCACGATAAATCCCAGTTTTTGATTAGCTGGAAGTTGTCATTTTAAATAAGTTAAAGATATGACAGCATAATTCAAACATGTATGTAGTCAAAGGTTTATCCTCTGTACTCTCAGATACATATAGCATAATTAAGTGCAGTAAGACTATTAGTTAGCAGTATAATCATAATACTTGTGATTCCACCTGGGTCAGGAGTTAATTCACTGGTCCCGTTTTTCTTCCTCAGCTGTGTGCCCAGGTCAGTCCAATGAGTCTCTACCTGGGTGAGGGAATGGTTGACCTGCCAGAGGTAGAAGAGGAGATGACTTGTTGCCCCAAGCCAGGAGAAGCCCCTGAAGAACCCATGTCACCCACACTGGAGGTAGTCCAGACACACACACTAAGGGTCAGAGGTTCTAGTTCTAGCATGGTGTGGAGTTGGTATGAATGATGGATTATCCATCTTCATCCGCTTTATCCGAGACCGGGTGGCAGCGACAGTAGTCCAAGCAGAGCCTCCCAGGAGGAACCCCAAGGCGTTCCCAGGCCAGCCAGGAGACATAGTCTCTCCAATGTGTCCTGGGTCTGTCCCCCGAGGCCTTCTCCCGAAGGGACATGCCCGGAATACCTCCCTAGGGAGGCGTCCAGGGAGCATCCTAAACTGGTGCCCGAGCCACCTCAACTGGTTCCGCTCAACGTGGAGGAGCAGCGGCTCTACTCTGAGCTCCTCACGGGTGACTGAGCTCCACACCCTATGCCTAAGGGTGCGCCCAGCCACTCTCCGGAGGAAACTCATTTCTGCCGCTTGTATCCGCGATTTCATTCTTTCAGTCATGATCCAAAGTTCATGGCCATAGGTGAAGGTAGGAACGTAGATCGACCGGTAAATTGAGATCTCAGCTCCTTCACCACAATGGACCGGTACAGAGACCGCATTACTGCGGACGCCGCATCAATCCGTCTGTCAACCTGCTGCTCCGTTTTTCCCTCACTCGTGAACAAGACCCCGAGATACTTAAACTCCTCCACTTGAGGGAGCAACCCAGCCCCAACCTTGCGTTGCCTTATTATTGATGGATTATCCATTTTGGAACAATTATTAGAAATGTTATGACACAGCCCCCACAGTTTGGGGGTCAGAAAGGTGTGGGAAGAAGGGTTTTGACACAAAGTTCTGATGAAGTATACTGGAAGTTGAACGCGCACACCTGCTACTGTTCTCAGTAAAAAACTTTTGAGTTTGCAGTACAGAATAAAATATTTAAGTACTGCATTTGTTGGATATTTGTAATTGGATTTGCAGCGTTATGCTTGAGTACAGTCTATCTATTCTGCCCCTCCCTTTTTAACTTCCTCTTTCTCACCTAGTCTTTTAATGGTACTGTAACTAGGATTTTATACCCTGCTGTCCATAGTTCTTGGCTTAACAGTGATATGTCAACATGCTCATGGCAGTGCCAAGCACCCACAGAACGCACACTGGCGTGCATACACACACATGCTGCTGAAGTGGGGGGTTGTAGTCCAGCACTGCTTAATGTCTAGTCATAGTGTTGGAAGGTCACAGCTCACTGTTGGACAATAAATAAGATGACAGCCAATCAGTGGGTAGTTTGACTATTGGAGTATGAGATTGTGTCTCTATTTTCTTTAGTCAAGGGTTATTAATATTACTGCCTGATTGCATTAAAAACTTAATTTATTTGCACGTTGATTAAAATCTGGAAACAAAATTAGCTACTAAAGATTGTTTTGCACAAATACAACTAGACTGAACAATAGTGGCAGAATCATGAAATGATAAAAGAAACAAACCGATAAAGCATCACAAGACTCATTTAAAAAAACTGATCCCTCTGCTAACTAAGCAGTCAACACAACACTCAGACAAGTATCTTAGCCATGCCTTGTACAAAGACTGAAAACAGGTAGTCTCTCAGTCAATGGTGCTTTCTTAGCTGTCTCCTTTACAAGTTGTATAGATTTCACAGAATGTAGAGATTTCAAAGATAGTGAAGTTATTAATGTGCGACTACTTCTCAAACTAGATATCAGAAGGGTTACCATGTGGAGAGGCAGTGTTGTTTTGCTCCCCTATAAAACATACAGTATCTAACTTACAAGAAGGTTTAAAAATGACTTTGGCAATGTTAACTAGAGCTTTTCCCATTTAAGTTAGTTTTTTTTCTGATCAGTCTCTTATGGCAATCATTTGGTGGAGGTGGCATGCCAACAGCTGCAGGAAAACATGAAGATAGTACATTTATTGCAGTGAATAAACGCCTTCTGTTTGCACCGAGGTGACAGACCTATTCTGTTCATTAAAGCAATTGTACTTTATAATTGTCATTATTATCATAGTAATATCTAATATAACCTTTACTTCCTATGTAGATTTGTGAACAAACTAATTGACATGCAGCAAATTCAATTAAAGACCTGTGTATAGTTACATGTGTCAGTGAAATATGAATGTGAACGCTGCATAGATTTTCTTGCCGTTGCAGATTGAAGAGGAAGAGCTGCCTGCTCTGGAGTTTATAGAGGACAGTGAGGCCAGTCTCCACATCCAGGTAGAACACCTGGCACTGTCCTCACCCACAGTCTCACCACATAGTTACAGAATTTGAGGGTTTCAGCTTTTGTGTGAAACTTCACCATGTTTGTTTTGTTCAACACCTGTGTTGCAGCAGTATTAACTGGTCAGCTGAAAGACTGAGCAGAACTGCTAACTGGGCTGGGTATTCATTCAAGTGGCGTGTTATATGTGACCATTTTGGTAACTGGAGCGAAATTACTGTGTATCTAAACATAGCTGCAGAGTCTAGGTGGAGTCAGTAGTGTTCTGGATCGCTTATTCACACTGCACTTTTCACTGAGATAACCTAATTTATCTTAGATAAAAGGTGGAAAAATGAATAAGTGCAATCATCTACGTACATGTGGACAAAACTATTTTGTTTGATAAAAATGACGTGAACAAATGCTACTCAAAACCTTTTCATGTTCAGGATAAGGCAGCCAACACTTTCAGTGCTCTGCTGAATGACCAGACCCTCAGGCAGTGCGTTGGTCAAGGCCCGGCCCAGCTCGCTGCACCTCCTGTCGCTGCAGCTCCTGTCGCTTCACCTCCTGTCGCTGCAGCAGCTCCTGTCGATGCTGCAGCTCCCACCTGCAGCTCTCTCACCCTTCCAGATGTGATCCAGAGCAAGACAACCCCAGCTCACTGTACAGCTGATCATAAAGTGAGAAGACCCCAAGTTTTTTTTTTTTGTAAAGAAATGGAGTAATATATTATTATTATTATTTTTTTTGTTCATTAAAGAAACTTTTGATCTGTTTTCAGCCACTGAGCAGGATTCCTCCACCAACTCCATCTAGCATCAACTTCACCTCCCGCTGTCCAACACCAGAGAAGGACCAGCAGTCACCCAAGGTCACTGCCCCCTCAGTGGACAGGCCGCTGCCTTTCCTGAGGCCTCTGAGCCCGCACACCTCCGAGCTGGGCCTAATCAAGGACCTCACCTGGGGTACATAGAAATGCATAACCACTTAATTTGTATTTTTCTTAATGTTGTTACTATTTAACATTGAAGAGATTGCAGCATCAACATCTTAACGACTCTGCACCAGTGACAGATGTCGCCAGTGGCGTTAGATTTTTGGGTTGTCTGTCCATACTGTACATCCACACTTCTGGCCATCCCATTTTCATGAACACGATATGGCTGGAACACCTTGTGGGCATTTCTTCAAATTTGGCACAAATGTCCACTTGGACCCCAGGTAGAACTGATTAGATTTTGGTGGTCTGTCCCATTCTTGTGATAGCATCTGTCAAACTCAATACATTCAATATCTTTTATTAATAATCCTTCAGTCTTATGTACATTTGACTTTGGATACACATACGTGTAAACCACAACATGATGTGCCTCTGTGATATGGCTGCACTCCCCCAACGATCTGTCTACTCTGTCGAGAAATATTTATAGCGCAACGTGAAAAAGTTTGAGCCCATTTTTGTAGGTTATATTTGTTTAGGCATCACTGAACTCAAATCAGGCATAAGCAGTTTGTGTTGGCTACAGTATGTACCGTGGATGTACAAATAACTGTCACTATTACACAGAAGAAACCTAAACTAAGAGTGTCTTTCTCCTATGATCGAGTGGGTTTTTGAACTTGTTTTCTGCATCTGAGGTAATAACGTTCTCTAAGTGTAAATCACAACATCCCCTAATTGTATATCGTGTGTTCTCAGATTTCAGTTGCCTCCAATCTGTAACATTGTGAAATGGGTCCTAATGTACACACACAGACTTGTCTTTTCTTGTACACACTCATTAACTAATAGGATTATGCAGTGACCTTCATTAACCCTCACATGTTCGCTTCGTTTCTGTCTACAACTAAACACACCGAGAAAAGCCTTCAATTAAATTAGTGTGTCCATGGATGCAGAGAGGGATATTGATTTCTGTCCTTTAGCTTGCAGTAGTTGATGTATCTGCACCGAGGACTGACAGATTCAATTAGACCTGTTATCAGAGCCGTTTGACCCAACAAGCTGCACTTATTGCATATGTCCTGATATTGATACACTGCTGCTCCCATATTAATGGGAGGGGGAAAAAACAATGTACCGTGGGTCATGGCAGATTTATCTACAAATCCCTTTTTATGATTTGTAGCTATAATATTGAAAGTGCTTCACAAAGTAACACAAACAAGATAGAAACAGGGTCACCACAGCGAATCGTCACACTGACGACTTGCAGGTTGACATTTGGCACGTGTTTTACGCCAGATGCCCTTCCTGACGCAACCCTGACTCGAACCCGGGCCCCTTAACCACTAGCCTACCAGGGACGGCTAGAAACAATAAGACATAGAACCTGCCTAAACTTTGTTAGAGTGATTTTTAATAAGCTTTGTCATGATGGGTTAGTGAGTGCGGATTGAAAAACTGCTTTAGTTCATTTAAAGTTAAATTTACAACACTAAGATGTGAGGGGGTCTGAATACTTTCTGAAGTGACTATATTATTTACAGATTAATTGCTGTATTTAATAGCAATTCCTGTTCATTCCTACATGTCATCATTTTTTCCCCAGCATGCCAGGAAAAAAATGGGATAATGTTGCCCTGAGACTTGTATGCTGGCTTCCATCAGAAACCCAACATTACAGAAACTGGACTCGGATAAAAAATAAAAAATCTAAATGAAGGGGTCAGTACTAAGCTCATTGTTGTGCTGCTCGTCAGAGAAAACACTGAAGTCTCTGCAAAGTGGTGAAACAAATGAAGAAGAACACTCAAGGTTTATTTATGTTGTTCTTATGCTGTTGGCGATAGCCATTATGTTTTCGGGTTGTTTGTCTGGCCCCGTCTCGCGAATGCTATATTTCTAGAGGGAATTTTTTTTTTTTTCCACATTTGTGCCAAGTGTGCACTTAGACTCAAGGATTAACTGATTTGGTTTTGGTGGTCCAACAGAGCACACCTCTGACCAGAACTTGTGGTACGATTGTTGTGAGACTCACTTTTAGCCAGGATTTATTTGAACGGCCCATGTGTTATGGCAGCGTCTGCTGTGGTTTCCTCCGGTTTCCTCCCACATCCCAGACATGCTGGTTAGGTTAACCGGCAATTTCTAAAGGCACAGTAGGTGTGAATAGTTATTTCTCTTACACGCCATCCCTGTGACTGGCTGGTAACCTTCCCCTGATGCACCCTGCCTTTTGCTCTGTGTCAGCTGTAATAGGTTCCCCACCATTGACTCAAGGATAAGCAGGTATAGCTGACAGATGTGGTTATACGGATGATAAATCACAAGTATTTATTTAAATTTATAACTTTTTACAGCAAATGTGTTAACACCGTTTACTACAGTATATGTCTTATGTTGATATTGTCTTTATTCTTTTGTCTAGGTGTATCCGCTTCTCTATTCCACCCACGAAATTCTGGTGTCCGGTTTCCTCTTTTTGGGGCCAGGTATGTCATGCATTGTACAATCCACCCCCAACCATAGGAATATGTATTCCTTAATAACTATAGAATTTATTTTAAAAATGTTGGCGTTCTTGGAGAGTTTCCAGTTTTTGAATCATTTTGTCAATTACTAGTAAAATCATTTTATTTGTAACACTTTTATTCTGATGTACATTAGTTATTGAGTAGGAGTATTAGTATGTTACTCATAATTTGATACTGGCAATATAAAAAATATACCAATGGATGGCTTTTTTTAATGACGTGTCATTAAGTTTCAGAATGCCTTTTGTTTTAAAAACTTTTCTGTTGGTGAGGCATTTTATCATTTCCTATCCAGATGTCTGTGTTAAGTGGTTTAATTTTTTTTTAAACATACTAATATTGCTGTTCTGGACAAGGTTATACATATATTGTATATAACTTTCAAACTGCTGTTATAATGAGCATTACAGAAGCATGTAAGTCATGACAGATGGAATTTTATTTTCAAAAATAAATTGTATTTGATATTGAATTTGATTTGACTTTATAGAATATTTCACTTTGTGTTGTTATTCACAGAAGTGGGTTTTAGATTTGCCACTGTTTTAAAACTGGGCTTCTCTGCTTTCTGTGGTTTTGGTCCAGCACATGGTCACTCATCCAGTTTTACTATGAATGAACAGGCATTCAAACAACCGTGACAACTGGGAAATGTCTAAAGCCTAACACTGTAGTTGGTTCCCCTGATGCGGAATTGAAATTCCTTTGGTAAATGTTAGCATGCTAACCAAGTATACTGAAATGGTGAAAATATTCTGGAATCCATTATCCAGTTCTATAATACAGGGGTTTTCAACCAGTGGTTTGTGGCCCTCTGGAGCACACCCTAAAGTAAACAGTGTTAGTTTTGTGATTTCACTGTTGGTCCAGTAATGCTGCAGTTCTGGTTCCTTTCTTTTTCCCTGGCTCTCCTTTACCTCATCAGGGCAATGTAAACACATTTTTGTGCCAGACATTTAATCCATGCAGTACTTTTCCTCATCCTGCTGACTCAATCACTCTTTTTTTATTTACACAAATCTGTTTTCCTACAGTTGACTCGCATGTCTCGGCCTTTCTGGTGAGGCGGAATATGGGTAGCTGCATCTTAAAAAAAAGTGCCTCCATGGGAATATGAATGACGATGAATGATGAGATCAGTGCACATGAATGAACCAAAGCCACAAGGAGACAATGTCTAAACTCTTGACACCAGGGTTCATGTCACACAGACAGTTACCCAGACCGAAAGCTGACTGTGTGTGTGCGGCATGTAGCATCTAGCGTGCATCTCGTATGAGGCTCGTCTTTACCAGCATGTGTTCACTTGCGCACTGAAAGTGCATAGTGTACAAAAACACAGAGGTGCCTGCAGGAACATCTTGTAGAGAAAAACACCTTGGAAAGAGGAAACCTACATCAAACTCTCCAACAAATAGTAGACGAGGGAATTATTGGCCGCTTTAGAAATGCATGTACATGTACAGTGTACCAACCTATGGTAAGACACAGCAAATACAACTTTACATTAGGGCTGTAATAGACATTCTTCAGTTTCTTTAAGCTGTTGTACATGTCTACGTTTGGAGAAGTACAAATATTGCACTTCATATTGTTGGTTTGTTAAGAAAAGTTGGAAAAGGTGAAACTAGGCTGCAAAGTTTTATATTTATTATAATTTAGTTTTTGACTAAGTTTCAAATTCTGAATTAAAGTTACAAAATGTTTGCATATGCTGTCTGTTACAGCTCTTAGAAGGAAAACTGGAATCAGCAGGCCCGACTTTAAAAAAAAATTGGATTCGGCCAAAAAGAAACTGCAATCAGTGCATCTATAATTATAATGTATGTACCCATCTGAAACCTAATTAGAGGCTGGAAGTAGAGCTCCACAATGTGCTCAGACCTCTAAAGGTTAAATGTGAAGTCCTGGATCATTAGTTGCATCCTGCGTGGCTCCCTGACCTTTAGTGGCTCAGCCAATTAGTTTTTTTTTTTTAACTGTAAGAATCATCTAAAATATATTAAAATGTCATAATCTCATGCATATAATAGCTCCTCCTCTCTCTGAAAAAGCTTTGCAATGAGATCATTAATCTACACACTGCCCACATACACTCTGCTGATACACGGATGTGCAGTGACAACTGATTTAACATTTTTCATTGAATTAAAATATTCTACATCCACCCTTGTTTTGCATGACAGACGACCCTTAATTATAATTTGCATGCAAACACGTTTTTTGTAAGTGAAGTGCATAACATACATCAGATCTGCACATATACACTCGCTTATTAGGACAAATACAAAAAGACATATTTGCACTCCACACCATTCTGCTTGTCCTGATTTTCAAATTCAATTATAAACCACTTTTCTTTTCTTTTTTTTGAAGCACACCAGTCCACCAGAAAAAGCTTTTACAATGTCCATACACATTGCAAGGCATTGCTTGGTTCGGGTTTCATTAGGGTTGGGGTAGGAGGGGGAGGTTTGGTAAGGCAGAAACACAGTAAACCTTATTAAGAAGCAGGCTAACGTGGTTGCCACTGAATTAGCAACAGACAGCAACAAAGCATCTATGCGCTGAATGAAGCAGGAAGATCTGACAGCTTTGATTTACAGACGGACCCTAAACCAGACCGTTTAAAGATCACTGCTTCTGTTTCACAGGCCTTGGTTTGCTTATTAGCTAAGTAGAGTTCGGGTAATAGTGGACATTTTGTTGTCTCCACTTTCTTACATTTTACTTAATGTTAGAGCAACTATATTGAAAGTAGCTTGGGTAGGCTCACAGGTCCTGAAAGGCATAGGAATGGTATACTCTAGTACACAACTAACAAGGACTTGGAAGCTCAATACTCAAAATAATATACACATGCATTGCATACTGTATATTAGTACATATGTACTGAAAAACTTCTAGCTTGAAATTAAAAAATTCCTTTGTAATTAAGTGGAAATGTAGCCACAAAGTTCTCACAACAGGTGGAGTTTACTGCTTCTTTCAATTATAATAGTCTGTGTACCAACAAATAGACTCATGGAAAGATACACACCACAATTTGCTCCACTACTATTTTAGGAAGATTTTAATTAGAAAGCTTTCAATTAACATTTTTGCATGACAGACGACCCTTAATTATAATTTGCATGCAAACACGTTTTTTGTAAGTGAAGTGCATAACATACATCAGATCTGCACATATACACTCGCTTATTAGGACAAATACAAAAAGACATATTTGCACTCCACACCATTCTGCTTGTCCTGATTTTCAAATTCAATTATAAACCACTTTTCTTTTCTTTTTTTTGAAGCACACCAGTCCACCAGAAAAAGCTTTTACAATGTCCATACACATTGCAAGGCATTGCTTGGTTCGGGTTTCATTAGGGTTGGGGTAGGAGGGGGAGGTTTGGTAAGGCAGAAACACAGTAAACCTTATTAAGAAGCAGGCTAACGTGGTTGCCACTGAATTAGCAACAGACAGCAACAAAGCATCTATGCGCTGAATGAAGCAGGAAGATCTGACAGCTTTGATTTACAGACGGACCCTAAACCAGACCGTTTAAAGATCACTGCTTCTGTTTCACAGGCCTTGGTTTGCTTATTAGCTAAGTAGAGTTCGGGTAATAGTGGACATTTTGTTGTCTCCACTTTCTTACATTTTACTTAATGTTAGAGCAACTATATTGAAAGTAGCTTGGGTAGGCTCACAGGTCCTGAAAGGCATAGGAATGGTATACTCTAGTACACAACTAACAAGGACTTGGAAGCTCAATACTCAAAATAATATACACATGCATTGCATACTGTATATTAGTACATATGTACTGAAAAACTTCTAGCTTGAAATTAAAAAATTCCTTTGTAATTAAGTGGAAATGTAGCCACAAAGTTCTCACAACAGGTGGAGTTTACTGCTTCTTTCAATTATAATAGTCTGTGTACCAACAAATAGACTCATGGAAAGATACACACCACAATTTGCTCCACTACTATTTTAGGAAGATTTTAATTAGAAAGCTTTCAATTAACATTTTTTATTTAAATATAGTTTATCCCCTAACTGTAAGAATCATCTAAAATATATTAAAATGTCATAATCTCATGCATATGTTTCAATAAGTTGTATTTAATCATTTTCAGTGTTATCTTCTGCCAGATCTTCAGTTTGATCTAAAATTAACTTTCATTTCCAAGCTTCTTAAATTTTAGTTGTTGATGTGCACTATAATTTCATCTGTGATTTGTTGTTGACATCCTATGATTAGCGTGAATTTTTTTGCATAACAATCCCATCTTGATCAATCACAAAATACCCTGTTTGTTTCTGACTATAGTTATGGCTTTCACAGGCATCAGTGAGTGAATCCTGCCATATTTTCGTATGAGGGAAAACTGTCAGCCAGCTAAACAGCCGTCATCGTCTAATGACAGAATCAATCAGGTGGATCAGTGATGACAGTCAAACAGAAATGAACCATGTCTGCTCACTGAAATGACTGAAAATCAGTCTCTCTTGAACCTTTACCGTATGTTGTAATGTGTTGGCAAAGCACAGGAATGCTAGGGACAGTAACATCATAACCTGTGTGTGTGTGTGTGTGTGTGTGTGTGTGAGAGAGAGAGCAGCTGTGCTGTGTGTAAATTTGGCTTAAGTCACACTCATCCGCTGAGAGATGATTAAAGGATGAGAAGCACCTTTCCTTTTGTCCTTGTTTCAGAGCTCTTATCTGCTGGATTAGTTTTAGGACAGTTGGAAGAAGAGTGGAGAGGAGCTTAATTCTCCTGCTAATCCCTCAGCCTCTACTCCATCTAAACAAACACACACACAACAGAAGAACCAGTATTTACAGTGGAATGCTTTTCCATGCTCAACATTGAATTTATATCCCACACTTAAATGGTTTCCTTTCTCCTACCACTAACTTGAGACATTTCCTTAATAAGTGCATGTACTGTAGAAGAATTTGTAGTACAAAATTAATAATTGGAGCAAGTTAAAACCTTTTTCAGTGCTGACGTTCACACCTGACTGTTAGTTGTATACTTGAGAAATTATAAACCTTTCCTTTAGCAGCTGCCTTAGAATAAACAAACTCAGGGCTTTATGAGCTGCTATAGGACACAGAACATCACAACATACATGTCCATGCTAAAACTGTAAAGTCTGAACTAGAACTTGGATGTAGAGTGGGTATAGAAAGAATAACCCTTTCAAAATGCATTGTTTTACAGCCTCAAGTGAAGAAAACAAATGTTTTTTATAACTTTATTCACTCAGTGTAGCTCATAATATACAAGTAAAAGACAAAATATAAACAGTTCTGAAAAATAATTTTAAAATATTCTGGTGGTCACCCTTGGCTTTGTAAACAATTTCCATTTCTTTTTGGTGGATACAGTCATCACTGATTCATCTGGTAGTTTAGTTTAGCCTCTACTTCAGATGTGTTAA